ACTCAAGAATTTATTTTGATAAATAAAGCACTTAAAGATTAAATGAAAAGTTTAAAAATTATAAAATAAAAAATAAAAACTAATGGATTAAGTAAGAATTAATAAAAAAATAAAAGAAAACTTAATTAATTAAGTGATAATTTTAAAATCGTTTGGGCGCCAAGGAGGATTATAAAATTATAAGAATATTTTTAAACAAAAAATATGTGGATAAAAGGTAAATTTGACAACATTGGAAGATTGAAAAACATCATTATATTACAATTAATTAATTAAAATTTAAAACTAAGTAAAAATCTATCAAAATTTATATAAAATTTATATTTTTTATGATTAAATAATTATAAAATTATAATAATAAAAAAATTGTAGATAAAATTCTGTGGGGAGACCATGACTACCTCTGTATCCCCTGGCTCCATCCCTGCCTGGAAGAGGTAGTTCTAAACTCTTTGGATTTTGGACTTTTAAAGGAAAAAAAAAAAAAAATTAGTCCATTCAAAGTTTAGTGTCCTTCAAATTGGACACCCATTGTTTTCTTTCTAACTATCTAGGATCTGTTCGGTTGATTTTTTCTTTTTTATTTTTTATTTCTCGGTTAGAATACACATGTTCGAATAAATTTATTCAAATTATTTTATATTTTAACTAATTTATATTTTATTTAATTTAATATCATTAAATTTCAATTATAAATTTATTTGAGAAAAAAAATTTATTGTAAAACTGACAACAGCTGCATAATCAAACAATATATAATTCACAACAGCGTTCAGCATCAAAAAGTAATCAGCACTATAATTGGGTTGGGTCAGCTACTTCTTAAAAGCATTCAATCTTCTGAACGCCCCTTTTCCTTCAAACTTTGAATGCGATCACTAATTCTTTGCCTTCCCCTGTATTATATTTAAATATCCATTTACGTCCTCGCTACTTTTAGCGTCAAAGCAATAAATATATAGTATTTCTACTATATATTATCCACCTCCCCACAAAACGGCCTTTATTATTCAACCACACCAAATCACGCAGCTCAGCCTGTCCCTTGAAATGTCGCTTTGTACAAAACTTGCACATGCGTTGCAAATGCAAAAATGCTACATGTGCAAACCAAAATTTAAAAAATAAAAATAAAAAAAGCAAGAGTCTATTATATAAAAACCTTTTATCACAGCAAGTCATGAATCGATAGATATGATAAATTAGATTAGATGTTTAATTTAAGATTAAACTATTTTATTTTATACAAATTAAAATTAAAGTTATTGAGTTACAATAATATAAGATATTTTTTAACAAAATTAAAATAGTATATTATAAACTCCATCAACTCAAATGAAATATTTAATTATTTAATACATATTAGTTTTGTCGATGATGTATTTTTGCTAATATTGCGAATATTGTCCACATTTTCAAGATGATAAAATATCAATTTAAATTATAATTTTTTAAAAAATTCTAATTTAATTAATTAAATTCTAAAAAAAATTATCTCTCCCAATCTTCTTCTCAAAATGCCTCCTCCACAAATTTTTTTAACTTTCAGCAACTTTCGTTCTTTCGCTTTGTTACCTTAAAAAAATCTCAATCATCTTTTAGTATTTTTCCTTTTTTTCTTCATTTAAGTTTTCAAAGCAACAAAAACTCAATAACCCAATCACTACTAATCTTGTACCCAACAATTAGATTTGGAAAACCATATGAGTTCAACCTTGAATTAAAGTCACAAAACCTTGAATCAACCAAAGATTCTTTTTAGTTTCATCCACAACAAAGATAGGGTTATTTTGATTCAAGGTAAGATCGGTTTTTTCTTATTCAAAACCTTAAGAATAGGAAAATTGGGGAAAGATTTTTGGCTTTGGATATTGAGCATTATTTAACGAGAAATTAATGTTTTGGGACTGTTTAGTTGTCGAAAAAAAATCTTAAGTTTTGCTTAGATTTTATTTTGAAAGTTTATAAAAAAAAAGATAAGATTGTATTCTTGAGATATACAGTCAAAAGATGACTCCATTTATTCTAGAATCTTTCATACTGCTTGTGTGTTTTGCCTTTCAATTGAGCTTTTGGGTCTCTTTTGACATTAGTTTTTTTTTTTATTTTAACTAATTATAAGTATTGATTGTTAATTGAAATTATATTTGGGTCTTGATCGTTGATTGAATTATATCATTTTTGTTTTTTTTTAGACAAGAAATTAGAAAATAAAGCAAAATAATATAAAATATTTTTAAAACTTGAATAATTACATGTTATTTTCATTTATCATAGTCTTTAAACTTAACGGTGCATATTTTTTATAGTTACATTTTCATTTAAAAAAACCTACATCATTACAAGTCGATAATGTTGAATTTTTATTTGTATAAAATAAATATTTAGTCTCGAATTAAATAATCAACCAAACGTTTACTCCTAAATTGAACATTGAGTCTATAAATTATGATGCCATCATAATTAAAAGTTACTATTTTAAATTAGTGGTAAAAACTTATGAAAAAATTTAAAATCGAATCAACGGACCTTATATCAATTCAATTATTTTAGATAATTAACAAAAACGATCAATTCGATTTTTTTTTTAAAACGATTGGTTAAATTACTTATAATTTTTTTAAAATCAAACCAGTTGATTGCTCACACCTTCAAATAACATAAGTAATATCAAAGTCATATAAGTGATATAATGTAACAGATAAAGAAATTATTTTCTTTAAAAAAAGAGATAAATGAATATTTAACCATAAATAAAAAATATGTTTAAAATAAAATTTTAATTTTTTTAACATAAAAGCCAAGACCTAAGGAAAATTGGAAAATGAAATTTACAAATGCTTGGATCGAACCACAATTTTATTGAAAATCTACCTCCTGAAAAAAATAAAAACCAATTGAGTTAAGTTTTTAATTCAATCAATTATATCCTTATTATTAATTGGTGAAACCATATATATTTACATGATATGCATTGATTTCTCCATAAAACAATAGTATTACGATTTTCTTGCATAAACAACAGAATCATAATTTTATGATTTTATATTTAGAATGGAGTGACCATTTAAAAAATCATAGTGATATAGTAATTAAATTATTATATTTGGTAAGCATTTGATGGTTCTAGTGGCGATGATCATCAATCATCGAGAGTGATCAGATCATTATTTGAAAAGGTAATCTAATTCCTATCTAAAGGAGTAAGAAACTTTTATTAATGATATCGATGGATAAGGTATGAGTAGGATAGAATATTCCTCATCTATATATTTTTATATTATGCTTATCCTTATACTCATATCCAATGGGTATTTTAAATTTATCCTTATCCCCATCCCCGCGGATATTTAATATGTATGGGTATTTTTCATATCCATGGCTTTAAAAAACAAAAAAAACAAAAAACTAAATTTTTTTATTTTTTTTTAAAATTTTTATCTTGTATATTTAAGTAATTTTTTTACAAATATATATTTTTTCAATAAAAATATATTAATTTTAATTAATCTAAAATAATAATTTATATTATTCAATAAAAATATATATTCTAAATATATATAAATATATATGTAGGGTATGAGTGCAGGACAGATACTATATTACTTATTCCTATCCATGTACCTAATTAAAATTTAAAATAATATACATTCATATCCCTATACCCACAATGTAATACTCATCCATATTTTCATTTATATAAAAATCAGGTTATTTATTAGATATGGGTAAGATTGAAATCTCTAACATTTATCACTAAGATAAAATTATATGTAAAATTTACGATAGTCAATATCACTCATTTGATATGCAAATTAAAAACTTGCTTTCTTTTAAAATTGTAATTATTTTATATTTTAATTTTGTATATTTTCAAACTAATATTTATTATAACAAGTTCAAAAATAATTTATATATTTTTGTTTTCTTTAATATTTTATATATAAGATAACTTTTTGTTTGTCTTTTATTATAAACTTAATTGATTAGTTTTATTTTTTAATTCAAATGTTTTCGTTACATAATTTATTTATAGAAATTAGTTTTATCTATTAATAAATATATTTATTAATTTAATTATATTTTATTATAAAATAAATAAAATATTACTAATATTTGATAAATTATTATCTTTAACAAATATTAAAATTATTAACTTTTGTAACTATTATAATAAGTATGATTATTTTCATATTTTAAATAAAATATTTTTTAATTTTTAATAAAATCAAATACAATAATTTTAATTTTTAAAAATTAATAATTATTAATCAAATAAAATAATTTTAAATCATAATTAATAAGATCACTTTAATAATAAAATTATATTATTATAATGATCTTACAAAAATAATAAATCTTATTTAAGGAGGCTTGGAGATTAACATACGGCATTATCTATAAGTGAAAGCTTGTATGAAAACCTGCACAGCTTGCTTTATTATGTTGATTTTCCAATTCAGTAAAGGATTTACCCTGACATATTGCCTTATGTTGAACATTACATGTGCTTGGGAATAAAACTTCTCTCGTGTTTAAACCAACACAATCTTGGTTTAGAACCCTTGAAACAACCCAAATTGAGGAATTGAAAAAATTTAGAGCAAATCACGGGACACAATGGAGTGTTTTATATTGGGTCCAACACATACACGTAGAAATGTCCAGAAAATTTGCAACTTCGATTTTGAAAATACAGAGGCAAAGCAGCACCTCTCGCGGCTAATTTGTTGCCACTTAACATGGGTCTTTATTAGATTTTTTAAATTTTTGTATATTTTTATCATATTAAATATTAATAATTTACATATTTATGTTATATTTGACATAAAATTATTATTACAATTGATGTTCATATAAAAATAAAAATATATATTTTATTTTTATTTTATAATTTTTTATTAAAATTTTAATTTATATTATTTTTATATTTTTATATCATTTTCGTTTTAAATTATCTTTAGTTTTTAAAATTGTCTAGTACATGGGATGTCCTCTTCTCACCTCGTGAATCCTCTCCCTCCACTTTTGCGTATAAAATTAATTCTTGGTAACCCTTTTCGTTCCCAACTTTCCCTTTCCCTTTGTCTTTTCTTTTCTTTGTATTTACAGTTCTTCGGGAGCAGCTGTTTCCAACAGCAAAACAATGGCTTGGTTACTCTCTATTTGCTTTACTCTGATTTTCTCTCTTTGTAATGGCTCTCGTACTCCAGTCTTTTCCGCATCCCTGGATGGTGAATAATCAACTTTGCTGATTTTTTTTGAGACATTGTACTACACGATTGTTATTGACTATCTTTTGTGTATTTCTCAATTTTGTTCAGGATTTGTAGGCAATGGTAACTTTGAACAAGCACCCAAGAAAGAGAACCTCAACAAAACGGTGATCCTAGGAAAATATTCACTTCCAGGATGGGAAATCGATGGCCTGGTGGAGTTTCTCTCCGGGGGGCCACAACCTGGTGGGTTTTACCTTCCGATCCCTCGTGGAGCCCATGCCGTGAGGCTTGGTAACGAGGCTTCCATCTCTCAGAATGTGAATGTGAAGCCTGGGTACATTTACTCTCTCACCTTTGGTGCCACAAGGACTTGCGCACAAGATGAGGTTCTCAGGATCTCAGTCCCTGGCCAGACGACAGACATCTCCATTCAGACCCTGTATAGCACAGATGGAGGCGACACCGTTGCGTTGGCCTTCAATGCAACAGCTAAAGTAGTAAGGATGATATTTCATAACCCTGGGGTTCAAGAAGATCCAACTTGTGGACCTCTCTTGGATGCCATTGCAATCAAAGAAATGCCTCCTCTAACATATACCAAAGGTGATTAAGTTCTTTAAATTTGCTCCAAGCTCTTTAAAAAAGATTAATTTGCTTGCTTTATGGTCTAAATTCACTAAAATTTCAGTCTTTGATTCAGTTAAATTTGGTTAATTTTACCAGCTTAGTCAGAAAAGAGAAGACATAAATTTTACTACGAGGTCAAGATTTTGATCATTTAACTTTCAGAAAAGACAAATACAATTGGATAGGTGCAGTTTTGAAGGAGTCCGCTTTACAAAAAGCAGAGGAGTCTGACTAAATATGCCCTGTTCAAATCACTTATTGCAAAGTGGCTTGGTGCTTATTTTATATACTAACAGATGCCTTTTCCATTTAATTTTTCTTCTGGATACACGTTATGGTCTTGGATTCTGGAAATTTTACTCAAGGCATTTGCTATAATTTTTTTTTATACAAAAAAGGGCAGCGGGAGATAGGAGAGAGGTTCCAAGCATTTGAGCGTTAAGATTTGAACTTCAAATCTTTTATATATTATTTATAATTATATAAACTAAGCTAAGTTATATATATATATATAGTAATTTAATTTCATGTCTCTCAAAGCAGGTAACCTTGTAAAAAATAATGGTTTCGAGACTGGTCCGCATACCTTCAAGAATTATTCAACAGGGGTCCTCCTGCCTCCGCAGAAGCAAGACAAAATTTCACCACTCCCAGGCTGGATCATTGAATCCCTAAAGCCAGTAAAATACATCGACAAGAAGCACTTCTCGGTTCCTTCAGGACTGTTCGCCATCGAAATGGTTGCTGGAAGAGAGAGTGCCATCGCCCAAGTCATCAGAACGGTCCCAAGCAAATTCTACACCCTCACATTCTCGGTTGGGGATGCCAAGAACGGTTGCCATGGATCAATGATGGTCGAAGCATTTGCTGGGAAGGATACTCTCAAAGTTCCATACGTATCTCAAGGAAAGGGTGGATTCAAGACAGCAAGTTTTAAATTCCAAGCAACATCAGGCAGGACGAGGATTACATTTTACAGTGCCTATTACCACACCAAGTTGCATGATTTTGGTCATATGTGCGGCCCTGTCTTGGACGATGTGCGGGTTCTCCCTGTCTCTTAGTCAAAAAGTTTAAAAAGTGTTTGTTTGCCACAAGATCTACAACTTTGGAGATTTGGTGTCTTATCTTTTATTATCTTGATGACTGATTTTGTACCTGTTTAAGTTGCAATAGTGTGAAACTGTGAAATGAGCGATAGTTTAGAATAAATTATCATTGCCAAGTTTGTTTTCATTATCGAGGCTTTTTTTTTCTTAATTTGAACAAGTGACAGAATTGAATTTAACTTTTTTAAAATTTATTACCAAACCGAATACCTAAATGCTAAGCTTTTCTTTAATGGCGTAATACTTTGGTATTTTATATTGGACGGTTTAATATAAATTAAAAAAGTCAATCGTGTAAACAATTTGGCTATGTTTAACTTTTCTAGTCCAGCACACTATTAGTGGGCCACTTTCTATTATTACAATTGCTTTCATTCATCTTTGAAAAATCGGCAATTCAAAAATTAAATAAACATTTTTATTTAAAAATATATTGTTGAATAACATATACACAATAAAACACATAAAGCTTGAATATAAAACAAAAAGGAAAAAAAAAGGGTTTTGCAAAGGGGAGGCGAGATATCAATATTCAGAAGATTGGGAAGACAAAATGTATTAAAGAAAAAGGAAGAAAAGGGACCATTCCATTCTCGTAAACAAAGAGGGTAAAGGAACGAGACTTTGAATCCAAATCGCGCTCAACAATACTGAAATTTAAATTTTAATATTTATAATTTATTTTTTTATTTTAAATTGTGTCTAATTTGTAAGAAAAATAAAGAAGAAGAATGAGTAAAAAAAAAATACTCCATGATCGTAGGTAATATGCAGGCAATTATATTAGAGAAGGACTTCAAAATTGTAATTGATTTTTCGAAGGAAACTATTTCTAGTGATGATCCTCTTGAAGTTGATATGGTACTCTCAGCTGATTGAGAGAAAAAGAAGTAATTTCGGCTGTTCAAATGTAAGTCTTACTTTACCAACGCTTGTTGGTTCGAATCGCAAAATGCTCAATTTTTCTTAAACAAGATTTTAATTTTGAAATTTGTGAATAAAAAAAATTTTGGAGAGCTTATCTCTTTATGGGATTCAACCAGATTCGATTTTAAATTAATTGAAGTTTAAAATAATTATCAACCAGATCCCAGAAAAAAAAAAAAAAAAAGAAGTCCCGCTTTTGCTCTTTTGCTTCCATTGTTTCTTGGCTTTCTTGTTAATTTAGACGCGTTTCCACTTGTTAGCATTTACTGATATATGCCATCTACTTGGCTAAATAGCTCTATCCTTCTCATCTATCCGTATCTAACGCACAATGTTGGCTGCAGTGCAAACGAATTGAAGTTATTACATTCCTAATCCGTTTGTTTAATTAAAGAAAGTTGAAATATTATTTTTTATCATTTATTAAACTTAATAAATGAATATAAATAAACAAAAATCGAATTTGTTTATAAAACTGTTTCTTGGACGCTCTATTAATTTACACTCTTGGATGTAAATGAATATGACATAAATGAATTTTATTATATTCATAATCTTTTTGTTTAGTTAACAATGTTAAAATATTATTTATGATTATTTATTAAACTTAATAAATGAACAAAAATCAATCTTATTTATGAATTATTTATCAAACGTCCTACTCATTTGCACTATTTAAATGTTAGGTTCCTTTTATAGTTATTTTTACTAATTTCTTTTCTACTTAAAGCTAGTTGTGCCACTTCTTATAAGCATTGAGAACTTGTCTGAAATTAATTTAGTAGTAGATGGAGTACCCAGCAAAAATCTAACTGATTAGGCAATAAATGCCTCTGATAAGGATCATAAAATCAAACTAAAACAGTTTTGACATATTGTGCGGAAAGTGTAGGTGCAGGGAAAATGGAAGTAAAGGTAGGCATGCTTGTTGTCATATTGAGTCTCATCCTCACAAGTATTTAATGGACAGACTATTGTGTTTAAGTATGCCTTAAACATGACAGAAATGGATGGTAGATATTCTTGAGCCAACCTGTCAAAAACATCCCATTTGCTGCCCATAAAAAACCTTACATCCATTTGGTTTTCTTTTCAGTTTGGAATAATTGTTTTTAGTTAAATGGTTAGTTTTGGTTTTGATTGACAGTAACTTCGCTATGAACTTTAGATATGAAAAGTATCATGCCTGTCTTGGAAGAGATGAAGAAGAGAGGAAAACAAACTACACTGATATGGAGTGGAATCCAATCCAATTCACACAAGGGTTAACCAACTTTCAGAACAAATTAAGGTTGTAAATTGTGGTTGATGTCAAAGCTTCAAATAACTTGAAACAAGAAGATATATACTTTATTTTCTAACCATTGTGATCTGTGGTTGTTGATATTGCTACTATGAACTGCCTTTCATCAAGGGCTAGTGATTTGATTGTTTGTAGTTCTATTCTATCTACTAATCTGTATAAAATGTGTACATATATAGTAATTCTTTCTTCAATGTCTCACATTTTAGTGATTTGAGGAACATAGATTCATTCTTAGATGTGGTCAATCTTATCTCTGTAGTCTATCAGGTTTAACAAATAATATGATCATGTGACTAGTTTTTATGAACATGGTTTGGGGGTGAATCCTTCCATTTTGCACCAAGTGTGAACCTTCCTTTTGGAGGTGAATTAATGGGTGATGATGTGGTTTTATGTTTGTACGTGGAAAGGCGAATCAATTCGAGAGAGCATCAAGAGGTTTTGACTGAATTTACATATCTTTCCTCTTTTTTTTTTTTTAATTAGATCCTTTCATATGTGTAAATTAATAATTTTGATTACAACTTTACCTTTTGATTTTTTTTTCTATATTTTTCATCATCCTTCATATTAAACACAACAAAAGAAAAATTTTTATTTTCCATTTTCCTTTCCTCACCTATTTCTTTTCATTCCGTTTTTTTCTTTTTTTCATTTCTACCAAAAAACATTGCATAAAGTGTGGGTGTACGGGAATCAACATTTGTCTGAACGCAACGAAGAAAAGTGAAGCAGTTCAAACCGCATAACATCCTTATTAATGATATCTTCAGTTTTAGAAGATCACAGCCTCTTTATGGTTCATCCAAGGAGAGGCTTTGGTCATATGAAGATGTAGGCTGGAAGAGGATGGGAGAGGAAATGGAGTTGAAGCTCAACGCTTGTCGAAAATAAAATTCTTTGCTGATGTACAAAATTTAGGCAAGCTTGCCATGGAAACAAACATAATAATGGTCAAGGGTAACTGGAGAAAAGTAGAGATAAAGAAAAATATATAAACATAAAATTTTAGTTGAATCTATGAACTAACAGCATCGCCAATTCAGATATTATAAATTAGAAAAGCAAAAACAAAAACAAAATCTAATCAAACCTGTGGTAAAAATTTGTGTTGGGTATCAATTTCTTCACACAACAGAATAAAAAATGAGGTCAGTAGAGTCAAGCCCCTTGGCTGCCTTGGCACCATAACTGGGCATGGGGGTTGAGTTTGGGTCTTGAACCTGACGCTGACTGCCATTTCCACTGCCAAGCCTGGGATCATGAGGGTTAGGAGGAGGATGGTAGTATAATCGTGCAGTTTGTGGGCAATGGGATTGGAACCTCGCCGCTATTCTCACCCCTGCGTCTAACAACTCCATCTACTTTCCCATTCCAATCTTATTAATTTCTCTCTCTTTTCAGAATATCTTATCTGTATGAAATGCTTTTGCAGCTCTTTTATATGAACCTGAAATAGAGAATGAAGCAAGAAGATGGATAAATTTGTTTTGTTGGGTGGAAGAGTTTGGCAGGAGACTTTGCTTTTATAACTCTATCCTGGTGTTTTGACTTTTTCTATTTTACTATTGCTTTCCATTTCTTTCCCTTCTTCCCTAGTAATTTAGTGCTTCTATTTATTGATTTTTGTGTTCACTTTAGAATAAAAATTTAACTAATCTTAATAATATTTATAAACATTTGTTATACATATATATATTTTAATTTTTATCTATCCTTTAATTTTCAATGCTTATCTCTTTAACTCATGCTAAAAAAAGATTAATGTGTAATTTAATCTTTAAATTATATCATTATTTATGATTTAATATTTATAAAAAATTACAATTAAATATTTGAATTATATTTTTTACAAAATTTTGTTTTATATATTAATTTTTTAATAAATTAATGTAATAAAAATTCAATAATATTATGACACGTATCACATTATTATTGATTAATAATTATTATGTTAATATTTTATTAACAAAGTTAGTCAATAATATAAAATATTTAAAGTGAATAAAATTAAATTATCTAATTATAAGTTTTTTATTATATTAATTCGAAAAGAAAATATTAAGTACCAATATTTCACAAATCTCAACCTTTAAAAATCTATCCTATATTCATGCCAACGAATTACCTTATGCCTTCACTGTATAAATACTCTCAATTATTTTTATTAATCTTAATATTCCATCGCGCTGATCTCTTTTGGATGACTGCATCAGCTTTGGCTCTACGCCTTCACCATTCGCCGCGTGGCTTGACTTTGACGACGCTGTACTAACTACATATTCTTTGCCCTTTTGTTTTTTGGTCGAGACAGATTCTTTGTCCCTAAAGTGGGCCACCTCTGAATTTTGAAGCATGAAACCTACGGAATTTCGATTCTCCCTATTTCAGTCCCTGGCCATGGCAGTGAAGACGCTTATGAGATACGAAGAAACATAGAAAGCGATTATACGAAACAATTATTTTATTTAAATATTAGTTTTTTAATCTGTGCAATGCACAAAATTTTATTATATTTTATTATTGTTTTAATTATCTTAATTCATTTTAAATTTTATGTTATCTTAAAAAGGAATATATCTTTTAATTTTTTATTTATAAAAACATAATTTATGATATCATTATCTTAAAGTTTTTATTTTAAAATGCATATATATTTATAATTTGTTTAATTCAAGATAAAAAATAAAAAATTTAAAGTATTTGATTCATGAATTATAAATTATTTAAAGTGATTGATGAAATATATAAAATATAAAAATATTTTTACATGATAAAAATGAAAAAAAAATGTAAAGTGGTAAACAAAACCGTTTAATTTATAAAGCAACATTTTTTAAAATATTAAAAGTATATAACTATAAATTCTAAATCAATAGTGATGATATATAATACA